TGCTGACTTAATGAATTATAGTGGAGAGGCAGAAGTAGCAGCTGTTATTAACCTCTTACCCTGTCATGGATCTATAATGAAGTACATGAAACAATACAGCTATACATTAAATAAACTCCAATAGTCATCCCTTAAGGATGCTTAGCACCGGTGTGTATCCATCCACTTCTGTCTGATGTGTGTTTGCAGTAAAACTGGAGCCAATATTGAAGAAACCACGCACTGTTCATTACAGTGTATCCTGTTTTTGCTTCAGTGTTGAAAGCAAAACTTTGTAGTTATAATTCAGTGCGAGTTATGCATGAAATTACTGAAATGTACTTTGTCCATCTGTTTGGTATTTTCATGTGCACAAATGGGTCTAGTGTAGCTATTCAAGATAGTTTTATTCGTAGAATGAACATAAAACATCTTAGACATTCTTTTAGTCTATTTATGTGTGGAAATTTAGTTTGATTTTGTTCTTTCTTCTTGCTGTGTTCAGATGCAGAGTTTCCCTTCAATGAGGAGAGAGTGATTCCTGATGGAGTCAACAGAGACTCAGCGATCATTGGAGGTAAAACATTTTATTTTTTTCACAGATTTTAGGTGTTAAGAGGTGAATCTATATTAACTGCTCAAAAATAACATAAATCACAAATAAGTCGGCACTGCTAAATGCCATAAATTAGTTGAGGTTTACCCACCTTTCCTGCTTATCCATAAGGTCAAACTTACAACACATTTTAAAAATGTAGTCTTTTAGCATAGATTGAAAAAAGGATGTAAGTAAATACTCCTCAAACCATTAATCTGATGTATTTTCTGTCAATCGGCTAATCAGTTAATCAACTAACTGTTTCAGCTTCACACTGAAAGCTTGTTCAAAAGTTGGTTAGTTGCTCAAAGCAATTTAATAGTAAGGATTGAAGATAACGATTGTTTCTGTGTCCTCTGCAGGTATCATTGCAGTGGTGATCTTCACCATCTTGTGTACTCTGGTGTTCCTGATTCGCTACATGTTCCGTCACAAAGGCACCTATCACACCAACGAAGCCAAGAGCAGCGGGGAGTCTGCCGGGGAATCAGCTGACACGGCCATCATTGGCACCGACAACCCTGAAACCATCGACGAATCAAAGAAAGAATGGTTCATCTAACAGGCAATGACGGGACTTTGAGAGAGGAAGTGATTCGTCAGACCACCAGTTGCCACAGAGATGGAGGAGGTTTAATTCAATGACCAATCACGGGAGAGATGAAGTAAAGGCCATTCAATAGGACAATAATCTCCCAGAGAAGGGAGACGTGGGAAAGACGTGTACAGAAATCTTTTTTGTTTGTTTGTTTGTTTTGTTTTTTTATATATCCAGAGTATTAGAAAGATAAGAGGGACAGTTATGCAGCGGAGCACAGCTGTAAGAGACTGTACATGTATATACTAACCGGCTTGTCCTTCTTTGTATCGTGCTTGGGAGTTTTCAGGAGTCCTTTGAATACTGTATATGACAAATAATTATACTTACTGGGTGGTGTGATAGCACAGATTTATTGCCAGTCTCTGTTGCATTTTGATTTTATTTTTTAACAAAAATCTTATATCAAAAATGATCAAATCAACATGCCAAACCCTTTTTATTTTTAATTTTTCAGGCTGCGGTTCCACCAGTCTGTCAACACTCATATACGTAAAATGACATGCCACCTATATTGTGGTAATATAGAGTTGCATATGGATGCCAAAAGTCACTTTGTAAATACAATATTTTGTGTTATTTTTTTTTTTCTCAAAAGATTTATTCAGAGTCCAATACATACAGTAAACACTAATGAGAAATTTCAGATCTATATTACAATCATATCATATGTTTGTCCATTACATTATATATGTATGAAATATAAAGTTTTATGTTTAAATCTTATGGCATTCGATTGTAAGGGACATTCCTTTCTGAGGAAGAACAGAAAGGGGTTTCTCAGAGCATGACAGGAAATCATGACACTCCATGGTTGGTTTAGCTCAGCACGGCAGCTGTCCTTTCATTTGGAATGGGTGTAACCGTCAGCCTTTACTCATTCATACTTGAGCAATCGGTTTGTTTTCTTTGCCAAACACTTACGTCTTATGTCATTAACCGATCGGCTGAGATATTTTCATTGTTTGATTTTAGGAGTTTTCTCAATATTTGTACATCTTAGTCTGACATTGGGCTGTGGGTTTACAGTGTGTGCATGCAGCTGTGCGTATATGTGTAGGTCAGATGAATAGAATTGGTTATATTGGACAAAAAGAGTGCCAGAAAAGATAGTTAGGACAGTCACATGGATGAGATCGAAGAACACTGCCCAACACTTAATGAGTTGTATTGATGCACTAAACTCTAGACATTAAGTGGTCGAAGCAGCCTAAAACAAAACAAAAAACACTGACATCTAATATTTGTTCAAGATCTGTGAGAAGTTAAGATGATAATTGGCTTACTAATCCATTGTGCCTTCTAGGTGTTGAGCCATGTCGCCTTGCCCCAGACTGCTTAACACAAACTTGCTACAAAAACTTGACTGCTGCTGCATGAAGTCAAAAATTCAGAATGAAAAAATCCAGCAAATGTAGAGGATTTTCTCATGTCCTAAAACGGTCAGACTTTTTCAAGCATAGCTGTATGGGTTCTTATGCAGCAGGAGCAGCTACACTGATGTATAGAAGCGCTGCACCCTATACAATACACGAGAGACACACACGCAAACATGCATGTTTGATAGAGCATGAGTCAAGGTTGTTCGTTCAATTACAAGAGCAACTTGCTCAGAATGAGGAGGCTGCTGCTTTGTCAACACTGAGTTGAGCTTCACTGTAACAGTGCCACTGTTGTCCAACATACATTCAAACGATGTACAATGTATATTTTCTAACCATGTTTTTTTTTCCTGTCATTGTTGCATATGTTTACCTTACCGTAGCATTTACAGAACAAACGTGTTCCAGTTGAAACCAGCTGCCAACTTTATTTTGTTGTGAATTTGCTTTTTGTGTGTCTGTTTGGTGAAAATGCTGCCATGTCACCCTGTTTGTGCATCATCGTCGCCTCATGGTTGAGTTCTAACTGTAGATCACATTATCAGAGACATTAGGACAGCTGGTGAACTCAGCCTGCCTTCTACTGCGGCCTCAAAGAAGACTTTCTCTGTCCACACATCACATCCATGAAGGCAAATGAGTGACTTTCCTTTTTTTTAAATTATATTACTCAGACTATACATAATCACGCACACATGCCCTTGACACAGTATGTGGTTTGAACATAATGGATGGTAATGGATTATCAGCTCCTACAGACAAGACCATAACCCATATGTTTTGCTTTCAGTTCTATTGAGTTCAATAAAGAGTGTTTGATCTTTAATGTCGGTGTTTTTCTATGCATCACTTACATGTTGACTTATAGACATCTTCACACACACACACACACACACAGCATTATGAGGCACTTGTCACACCTTATACCATGTAATAATCATAGCATCAGGACTAGCTGTAGACTGATTTGTGAGCTACAGCTACATTTCACGGCCTTTTAAGTAAAAATGCTATGAAATAAAAAGTGCAAGAATTATAAAATAATAAAAAGTGCACAGATGCAGTAAATAATTAATTTTGAAGTCTGAGTCTGAAACAAAGACTGGGCAGAATGATGGCACTTAAGGCAGGACCCTGCTTGACCTTATGTTTCGATTGCTTTGTTTGGCCCAGCGGCATACTGAAAGCGGTGGGTCACAAAGCTCGACTCGGCTCCATGCACAGAACCGTTATCATTTTCATCCCACTGGAGGCTGCAGGCCTGAAACCTAGAAGGGGAGAGTTAAAGAGGTTAAAGTGAGAGAAAGAAGGACAGTGAGTCAGAGAGAATGAATCACAAATATAGTAAGCCCAATACAATGTGAAGGCCTGTGTGAGACAGGGGATAGGCTGCCCCCTTGTGGTCAGACAGTGCAGCTTCTTACAGATATGGTTAGTGTTATTCAATATAACTTTATTTATGCCTGTAAAGGTGATTGTCTGCAGCAGATCAAAACCAGATTAACAGCTACCAACACAATAGATATAAAAAAGAGAAAACACTTTAAATTACAATAAAAAACAATCAAATGATAAAAGCTTAAAGCCGATATATGGAATTAGAATAAATATAAATATCTAAAAACACTGCTCAGTGGTCAACAGTGTGTGTGTGTGTGTGTGTGTGTGTGTGTGTGTGTGTGTGTATGTATGTGTGTGTGTGTGTGTGTGTGTGTCCCTCCTGCTGACCTGAGTACTCTTAGCTTTTAGCACTCCTTGTCAGGCTCATTCAGACTTTATTCCATACATTGTTATTCAAAATCTGGCACATACATTACCCACAATGCAACTCGACAGCAGGAAGCCAGAGCCATTAACATATAATATTATATCTTAGCTAGCCTCAAGCTGAGTTAAGGGGCGGACTACAGCGGTCTACTAAGCCCACTTCTTTCTAACTCCACTCCTCCAGTGTTCAGCCCCAACCAACATCATTTAGGCGTTATACAAGTTTAACATTATTGACTGTGAACCCTGTTCTCAGACATTTAACAAAGCTCCAATTACATTAAACTTCTGGGGAGCACATCTTCATTGTGTGCCATTATTAAACACTGTTCTCCTATTTCCACAGTAGAACCAAGACAATTCAGAGCCCTGTCATTATTACCAATATTGTAGTGAGAGGGCCTTCAGTCCATCGTCACAGTGAAGTTTGATTGCTTATTATCCATTTAGTATTATAGCAACCCTTTTAATCACTTTGTATGTCAAAATATTGACATTCCATTGAGTTGAGTTACCCATCAAATCCATATCTGAGCCTTATGTGTTTCTAACAAGCAGTATGTACTGTGTAATATATAGTTTCTAGGGATCTACTTAATCAACCGATAGGGGGCAGTGTGTGACTTAGTTTAAAGTATTTGAGTTTTTCAAGGAGGAATCATTCTGAACACTGACACATTTTTATTATTTTTATTTGTTTATTTCAACAAAAGTTAAAACACTCAGCAGTTACAAAAGACACACATACAAAAAGTAAACTGACAGTGTTCACAGTCTCTTATATTCCTTCCTGTTGTCTCACTATCAGCTCTTTGTTGTTCCACTCTGATGCCACAGTTAATGCGTGAGTTGGAGAAAATGAGCTCTGAACTAGGATCAGGATTGGTCTTTGGTACGCAGCAGGGGTCGGAGTGAAATGCTTAGGTTTTATTGTCTCAGGTGAAGCTTTGTGATACTGGGGTGAAGAAATAAAGACTTCTGAGATGAAAGCCTGGGACTTCAGAGAGCAAGAGGTGGCGGACGGCAGGAGACTTCACACCTCGGGACACTCAGCTGTAACAACATGCATGAGGGAGTGGAAAGGTTAAGTTTCTCTTATTACATCACATATATGTATACATTGTCCTATTAAAGTGCATTTTTCTATGTTAATGACTTACCATTCTTAGGCAAGATGACAATGTTGTCAGGGAGGACGCCAGTCTCCAGAGAGAACTGTGTGAACTTCTGCTGCAGGGTGACACTGGACTCAGGAGTGCGACCTACAGCACAAACACAGAATGGGTTGCCTTAACCTTCACCAAATCATGAATCCACCAGTTCAATGAACAATGCTTCCCCACAGGGACACAGCGCTGTTTGCTGTGGTGTGACTTACTGTAAAGCTTGTTGAGGACCTCAGACACTCCCTCCTTTGTCTTGATAGTGTGGACCAGAGCGTAGTCATCGTACACAACTTCAACAATGCGCATGTCGTTTTCATTGTTCCAAACTGATGAATGCAGAAGTAAACAGGTCAGGCTGTTAAATCTTTGTTTTTGTGTCTAGTCTGTGAGTTAGTGTTTGTGTGTTCTCTACTCACTTCTGCTGTGGAAGCTGAAGCGTCCAGGGGTGTCGGTTTTCTTAGCAAGGTGAGTCATTCTCCAGCAGGTACCATCAGCACTAAAATAGAAAAAGAGAACCAGGTCAGTTTACTTTAAAATCATCAGGATGTTGAGATTTGTCCGTATAATTACATATGAATCACTCACTTCAAATTTGCATAAGAGAGATCCAGGTCTCCCCCATCAGTTGGCACTATTACAGAGGTGCCCATCTTCATCCCTGCCTTGTGGTTCACAAACCACTGGGCGTTAGTGGCGAAGCCAACAATGTACCACTTGCCTGCCATCTAAAAGAAAGACAGAAGAGGGGAAATAAGAGGTGAGTGGTTATCTTGTATGTATTACACCACTCACTCCTGTCTCACATATTCTTAAAAGTAAGGTTTGCTCCAGTAAGTGCAATAAACATTTCAACCAACCACAGATGCTTACAACTCTCCTTTACTCCAAACTGTTAATATTTGGAATATCAGCAATAAGCCTTGCAGCAGTAATACTTCTGCCTCTCTCTTACCTTTGTAAGGTCAAAGTCTTGAACTGGTGTCACATCGGCGCAGACAGTCAGTGTGCACATGAGTGCAGCCAGCAACCTCAGCAGTGTGTTCCTCATGGCTTCTCCTTTGTGTTCTGGTCTTCTTCAGCGGTGAGTGAAGTATCAGGACGAGGTAAGGAGGAAAAGGCAAGTGGAGGCTCCTTATATCCTGCTGAGTCCTGCTCCCCATCTCCTCCTCCTCCTCCTCCTCCTTCTTCTGTCTCCTCCTCCTCCCTCTCTCCTGCTGCTAGCTTCTGCATTACAAAAACTCTTTGGCCTTCACCCATCGGCATGCAAATCACTGCCGTTACACAACTGGCACGTGTGGATGGAGGAGGGGGACGTGAGGAGAGAAGAAAAGAAAAGCAAGATAGGTACATAATAGGGTTCTTTTAAACCCCCCCCCCCAGTCACAAATGCTCTTACATGACTAGGCTATCAGAACAGCTGTTTGGTAAGAGTGCAAATTTCTTAACCACATGGTACATGAAAGCTTCAAAAAACATATCACATACACAGTAAGAAATAAGAAAGTAGAGGCACTTTTGCTGAGCTTTTTTTCTCTTTGAAAAAAAGACTAAAATCAACTCTATGAGCCAATAAACACCACTTATTTAAGATACAAATGAGAGCTTTCTGGATATAATAAACCAGTTGTAGTAAATGTGCCTTCTCTCGCAGCAAACTGCATTCCTAGCACCTTTGAGGCAGTGATATGCAAGAACTCCACAGAGAAAAAAGCTCTGCCAGTGTTGCATACAATGATTGGATTGTTCCTTGCAGTTAATTTTGAGTATTAGTAGTTTCACAAGACTTTTAAAACAGTAGGAATTTAACAGAGATGCCGTTCACTCCTTTCAGTTCTGTAACACACAGTGAGAAGAAGAGTTGGATGAACTCTATCACCTTGTTTGACATTAAATGCTGCATAAATCTGCTTTATGTGGAAATAATAGCCCCCTAAATCCACCACTGTGTTAAAGGACTAGTATAATTTACTTTATGTAGTGTGTAATGTGCTCCTCGTTTTGGAAAATGCATTGATGGACTCATCAGAGGTCCTTTTGTTAAGAGACAAGACAGGCACCGACTTGCAATCAGCCGGTTATGTAACAAACACACACACACACACACACACACACACACACACACACACACACACACACACACACACACACACACACACACACACACACAAAGGTGCTGGGTGGAGGAAGGGACAGCAGTAAAAAGCACATTAGTTTTGTAACTAAACTCACTCAACCCCTTTAGGGCTCCACATCTGGGCTGCATTAACTCCAGCCCCCCCCTCCCTCGTTTGTGTACACACATCCCAAAAGCATGCATACAGGCAGACACACACTCTGAATGTTAAACCTCAGAATAAAATGATGTGATGGAGTTAACACTATAATAAGCTGCACATAAGTATGGCACCTCACCAGAGCCAGCTGATGGCAGATAAGGCCCATTTTGTCTCTTTTTTTTAACAAAAACATTTGACAATAATTTGATTATGTTACATTTTATTTTATTTATCTGTAACTGGTAACATTAAAAGCACCTTGGTGCAGTCTTTCCACAAGTTTCTTGCTGATGTTCACATTTTTAACATTCAGATAATATTCAGTATAATCTTCAACACTGCAGGGCTGGATCTGTCTGCTGCATGACTCTGCCTCTTCAGCATGTGGGGACACAGTCTGTATAACAAAGAGTGACAGGTTAAATTACATAGAAACTGTTCTGCTGTTTTAACCAACCAGTGGTGATTGGATAACATGTTGTTGACAAAGTTTAAATAACTGATTGTTGCACAAGTTGAATCCAACACATGCACAGCCTGCAGGGGCAAACGTGGAAACTGTTTGGGAAGAACACGGCAGCAGATCATTGGTTTCCTTAGAGAGCTGCTCTCGACCAATCTCACTGTTTCTCCCTCTCCTTCTGACTTCTGATAGGCAAAAGTATCCACCACCAAATCCATGTTTGCTGTGCTTTTGTAAAGAGTAAGTTCTTGCTCATTTACCCCAAATCATACCCTTATAAACTGGCATTAAATAAACTGGTCATACATTTGAGTGAAACAAATCTTTAGTCCATAACTGGAGTTCCAACATATTAAAAAACATTTAGTCACTGTTTATAGTTATATTCAAAACCTCCAATAGCCTTTACAACATCAATAATAAAGCAATAAGATTTTACAATCCAGTAGTGAATAGCTTGTCCATTCAGCAACACAATATATCTTATCAATTCCATTAATCATATATATATAAATCATTTAATTCATATACACTACTGTAATCTCTCTCATTGGCATTACTGCAGAAACATGTCTACAGTGTAGACACAAAGTATCCATACATAATAATTACAGATTACACTCATTATAGTAAGTAACAGAGAAGGAGAATACATATTTTGTCATTCAGTGGCCAGCACACAGCAGAGCTGCAGCTGTGAAGGTGAAATGAAGATTGACATGTAATGAACTGAACCACTGAGCAGAACAAAATGCATGAAATACTGCAGAGCATGGAAAAGATTCTGAATGCAATACCATGTGCAATAACCTCTGAAAATATTCAGTATACTACACATTAAGCCTGCAAGATACACTAAAGAACTGAAAATCATTTATTGCTTCTTCTTTTTTTTTTTTTTACACTTTCCAGAAAACCCTTCTTGTTTGAAAGGGGCATTTTATACATGTCGCTATGTCATGGGGATTCAATAAAAAGCTGTATTTGCAACGTTTGTCAGCTGCTGTATTTCCCTCTGCTCCCTTTTTATGCTAGTCTGTTAACTGTTTATTTTCTTTCTATCAAATAATTATGGCTACCTGTTATTTAATGGTTTTACACACTGAACTTACTGATTACATGTTCCTGGTCCACAGTTCCACAGTGACCTAGAAGGGGGAAACAGTTATTTAAAGGCAGCTCAAGAGGCAGGTGTATATATATATGTGGAGAAATCAGTGAGCAGAGTTTGAGTATTGTGTCACATTAATGCATTATGTTTTAAATTTGTACTCCTTTTATTTTGAAAAGTAACGCAATATATTCCAAACTATGTTAAGAAATATGCTGAATCTGATCAAGCTAGATTCTAGTGGCTTTTTATGCCACCTTACATTTAATATTGCAGTTGCTAACACAGTTTATTTCAGACAAATATACGTACTGTAGGTGGGGAAGGGGAATAGGTATGCCAGTCCCAAATGTTGTTTTTCAGCAAGCTGCTCAAACTTGGTCAACATTGGCTCTGACAGATTGTCTACAGACCTGCCTGCATACACAGCACCAAAACAAACACTATGACAGTACAAATGCATTTTTTTTTACAGTGCAGTCTCAAAAAAAAAAATCTGAACTACCACCTGGCTTTTACATTTAAAATACCAAACCACGGTCATATGCCAGAGGAACCCACCATAGAGCTTCATGGTGATCGTGCCCCGTTTGTGGTAATACATGATCGCATAGGAGTTGTAGTCCGTTTCCCCGATCACTATCTTAGTGTCCAGCTCAGGACGAGCTCCTGGTGGAAACAACAGAGGGCACAGTCAGACTAAAGGATGCTGCAGTGCACTCTAATTTATGAATCAGGCTTAATAAGGTAATAAAAAAAGAGGCACTGACCTTTAAGTGTTAGCTGACCTGGGGTTGGTGACAGATGGTAGACCTGTAATATCTCCCAACACTGGTGGTTACTGAGGGGGGAAGAGAAGGGTTTGTACTAAAAACTAAAAACATATACATATACACTTTATATACATGGTGTTTTGTAGTCCAACCACATGCCCTAGGTCAGATTGAACTATGTTTCTAATGTCATATGAGAAAAGGACAAAAGAAAATTGTTTTTCTCTGCGTTGGCCAAACAGGATTTAAAACCCTCAAATCACAATATCACGGAATGTCCCAGAAAAACATGACACACACTTTTTCAATTTAAATGGAGTATTGCACTCCCTGTTTTTCTACAAAAGCCAGGTCAAGATGACCTAAAAGCTTTGAATATGGTCAGGGAATGCTGGTGGATTCAACTTGTTTGCCTCCTTCTTCCTGTTTTTGAGGACACAAACAAAATCAAACACATGTGGTTGGAGCATGAAGTCAGTGTGGCATATGTGCCCCCTCTGCTGATAAATCAAGGTACTGAAGAGTCAACAGTGAGCTGCATGCACAGTGTGCTCAGACGGTGGTACTTACTGTCTTGTTTTAGTGCTAACAGACAGTGTTTGGTCAGGGGAATTTGTGAGGGTCATGACTGTAGGCTCCACCTGGGTTCCATGTTTTATCAGGTAAGAGCATTTAGAGGCAGTGTTTAGCAGGTACCATGTTCCTGTCATCTGCAACACATGCAAGCAGGATGAGGTTGGAGACATGACAAATAAGCAAAACTTTCACATATCTCCTCAGTGTCGGAAATAATATTTGAAAATGGAAGGAAAATTCTTGGGACTTGCTTTGTCTCTCAAAAAAGGACATTTTTACAGGTGATTGACTAACATCAAACTTTTCATCACACCAAATGATCTTGATCTTGTAAACCCAGTTATAACAGAATTTGCCCTATTGGACCAGGGTCAAATAAACGTTCCCTGTCCTACCAATGAAAAGGATACATCTGCTTCTGAATGTTCTGCTTCATTAAAATTTGTTCTGTTCAAATTCTGTTTCACAGAAAATTCCCCTTACTGCCCAGAACTCCATGTTGATACAATTACACAAGCATGTCCACATTGCCAGCCCCCACTCTAATCTATAATCAAGTAGACTTACATGTTTGTATGTCTTATAAACATTTAATACATTTGCTAAAATGTTTCTGTTTTTTGCATGGGTACTTGGATAGAGGTTTGCTCAAGCAGCATTTCCATCTTAGTTGTTTTAGAATCCTTTCATATTCAGCAATATGTTAGATAAGGAAAAAAACTAGCAGCATTAGTCAATACCTGGCAAAGGTTAACTTCGCCTGTTCTTCTCAAAGCAATAATATCTCTTTTTCACTATTCTGTTAAGATCATTTCTCTAGGTTTCCATTGATTATTTTGAAGTCCTATTTGTTTATGCTATTGTGACATGGTACAAACAAGTGAGAAACAGAGCTGAACTGTCAGTGTGCAAAGGTCAGGTAACGGCACAGGTAAGTATTTACATTTAACAGTCACATTTATCAAAATGAGATTTATCTTTTCATGCATCTCTTTCCAGGCTGGTAACAGTTAAGTCTGAATGGAAATTAAAAATCAATCTATACCAAACCATATGCAATCTTTGCTCTACCTTTCCTAGTTCTGTAACTTGATTTAGAAGCGACAATCAGAAACATGGGATGGAAAGAAAAACTTAATACACAGATGTAGACATAATACAGAGGTAACACACACAGTCAAACACAGTACTGTATGTGATCTGTAACTCTGCCTCTTTCTCCAGTTTCTTACCTGCTGTATATCTATGTTCTGTGCAGGTTGGGTCACATCAGTAGCCTCAACCTTTGACTTCTTAGGAGGCCGTCTTTGGGGTCGTGGTCGACTCTTAGCCCCCCCTATAGCCTCAGTGGAACTCCACAGACACACGCACATCAACACTAAGACTACCACCATACATCGCCATAGTCGAGCCATCATACCACTAAAGAGTCAGTCTTGTTCTCCTATACTATTGCTCAGGTTCCTGTGTTCTTACTTTTCTTTTTTCCTTTGTATTGGGTTTTCTGTCCCCTCTGTCTCTGTCTGCAGTATACCCAATCTGCTTTACTCAACCCCAAACACACAGACACAGAAGAAATGCACAAACAAACAGGGAGCAGGAGACAAATAATGTGAAACAGAGGATGGCCTGTTAGGTTAAATATTAACTTGGTTTACTGGTAGAAATGAGGCCATACTGCAGGGGGCAACCATAAATCATAAATCTCATTATTAAATGCTGACTTTAATATCTTAATAAACTCTACAGTCCATACAGGGTAACCATAGATTCAGATAACGAACAAAATGTGCATTTATTGACAAATGATCAGTCAGATTTGCATCTTAACACAGTCAATTTGATCTACAAATGTAGCACCAGACGGAAAAACACACACAGCAGCAATGTCATAACCTACTGTGTTTTGCAATCTCCACAGAAAAAGAGGTCTTCTTAGTTCGGGCACAGTGAATTTTGACATTTTTCAAAACATGAAGACAAGTCAATCATAATGATTTTTTTTAACATCAGTGGTTTAGCCACTATGTCCCACACTAAAGTGACAAGTTGCTCATCCAAACTACACTTAGGGACAAACATAATTAAGACAAAATCAACAAAAATTTGAAAATAATAGAAAAACAATCAAGTGACTGAAAGAGCTGATGGTCTATAGTTTGAATTTGGGTTTGTTTGAATGTGTATGTATGTATGTTCAGCTGATTTGTAGACTTCTCTCCAGTGCGTTTATCCAAAGAGGCTGAGCTCAATCCAGTTTCTCTCTTTAATAAATGGAAAAGTCAATTCCCACCTAAATTCAAACATTAAAACATTTTGTGCCGCACAAGGCCTCCCACTTCCATCCCTGTACAGGTCAAAACCATACCCCTTGTCCTTGATTTGACCTGCAATAAATCAAACAGTAAGCGTGTTTTCAGTGGTTTAGGCAAGCTATGTAATTCATCAGTTTTCCTCAGAATTGTCAGGTGTGTTGTTTCCTCTGGCTTTAAACGTGAGGGCCACACTGTTGATACAGAAACGTTGACCTGTTGGATCTGGTCCGTCATCAAACACATGACCCAGGTGGGCATCGCACTGCATGAAACACATAACCAAAGTCATAAGCCAACCAAAACTATAAAAATGATGGTTGTATTTAAAGAAAAGCAAAGTATGGATGAGATACACATTAAACAACTCTGACTATACTGCTTCACTAGAGACTGCACACAAATCTATATGAACTGGAGCAACAATACTGAACAAACTGAACTTTGGCTTCATAGCACAACTCACATTTTTACAAAGGACCTCTGTCCCTGCACTACCCAGGCTGTTGTCAGGGCGACGAATGATGGAGGCGTGGCTTTCATCCCGCTCCCATGTCCCATGAGCCTCTTTGAATGCTGGCCAGCCTGTCCCAGAGTCATACTTGGCCTCTGAACTATCATGAGAGGAAGGAACATTTCCTCAGTTAGCATCTACCAATATATTTCTCAATAAACATCTAACACAAATAGTTTCAGCTAGTTTCCATTCAACATCAGTATTTGTAGTAAAACGGTGACTGTAGTATTTTTCTATAAAAATGTTTTCTTGTCACACATTGAAGCCAACAAGGGGTAAGTTACTAACAAAAAATACCAATATGTGGGGAAATATTCCTTTAACAATTAGGCGTTAACTGTTACCTGAAAAGTGGAGATTCACAGCAGACACAGTGGTACATCCCCACTTCTGAATGGTTGAGGTAGATCCCACTAAAGGGCTGAAAACCCACAAATACACACACAATGTTAGAAGCAGAGACACAGGACTAATAGTTGACTTCATGGTATTAGTTTTATGTCCTTAAGCTCATGATTTTAAGTGCAATAGAGTAACTTGTCTTTTTTCTTCTTATTATTACATGTAGAAATCGCTCTGTGTTTCAAGCTGAGAGCAGCTTCTAATTAATCAAACACCAAAGACTAGCTGAGAAGGCTGAACCTGACACAGGTCAACAATACAGTGATGAACAAAGTCCATTTGGAACTGTGCTGTTGTTTATGAGACAATATGTATGTCAGTCTGGTAGACTGAGGTAATGTTGGTTTGACACAGATCACTGTATTGGTGTGTATGCAGTACTCACCACCTCAGTCCCTTTCTCTCTGGTGACTACATACTGCTCAGGGGTCAGTTTCTTTTGCCAGTCTGTAGTCTCATCATAACGGGTGAGAGACCGCAGGCCTGCAGAGAGAAGAGGTTACAATCGAAAAGTCACAGATGAGTTTTTGTAAGTGCTGATCTATCATGAACCCTAAATTGCTATGGCAGGGTTTCCTAGCCCTTTTAACTAAAACCTACAATGTTAAACCACAGACATTTATAAAATGTTTGTTATCACATGACTTGGAAACAGTTAACTGTACTGCTAAAGGTAGAAAGGAAGCACAAGGGGAAAGGGTCACATTTCTAGACAGTCTTTAGACAACAACTCAAGTAACAGTAAAATTCCACTAATCCCAGATTTATTGGTAACCCCCTCTCTGCTTCTAACCACAGTCCTCCTTGCACAAGCAATAACCCGTAGCTGCCTGTTTCTTATTCCTAGTGCCTTCCAGCAGATTTACATGCTCCAGCATCCGTGAGAAGAATAAAGCATGGTGCACCTGCAGGAGTTTGCAGCCTGTGATACTATACGGTATAGTGCATATCCAAAGAAAGAAGTAACAGTAAAGAAATCAAACGTACCTTGAGATGTGGATACAGAACGGATGAACACTGGGATCCTCCTCGGTAACACCACGGATCTGGCTGTGGCGTGCTGAGAAACGACCGCGAAGAGACGGGGTACAAAACGAGACATGTTTGGTGCTGCTGGTGTGTCGGCTCCTGTGTAAAGTCAAGTGCACGTATCAGTGGAAGCCAAGAGCGCTCGCTGTGTCGGGATTGTTCATGCCGAGGCGAGTTCGCGCTGGTCCTCCCCCGGCTGATGCAGGCGGTTTGCAGGGTGACCCGGTCAAAAATCACACCTCCGGATATATAGGTCAAAGTGGCTTGAGTTTTCTGGCTTTTTATTGCTGACCGTGTTCAAAGACCGCGTTCAAAGATTCACCATATCGTAATTGTGGAGCACATTTATGGCTAGAAAAAATGCTGCATTGGAGGAGGGGGACTGGTCTGGTGTCAGTAGTTAGTAAACGTGTTACAATCTTTTCAACAAAACTAGTAGCCTAAGTCCCAGTATAGTACAGTGAGGTTATTATTATTATACAGCAAGGTGGAATTAAAAGACACATATTAGAGCAGCTTTATTTGGACCTGAGTCCCTATGTCTCCTACAAAATAAATAATGAAAAAATATTTTTTCTTTTCAATTATGTAACTTTAGTTGAGTCACAGACAGCTGGCAGTGTCCACCTGCTAACCAACTCAAAGCTATATTCACAGACAGTTTCCCCTTTTGGCTTGTGCATGAACTAAAATAATCAACTGACCATTTTAATAGTCTAGTTTAATAGTTGTATATACAATAAAAATCAACCATCTATAATGCATCTCAGTAAAATGTCAGGTCACAGCATTATGTACTATATAGTCTGATATTGCACAGCAGCAGAGGTATTAGCTTTCAGCAGACTTCCAGGCTGGTGCATAAGGTCCACTATGTAGCAGCAGGGCTGTGAAGAGCGACCATTGCTGGAGGGATTCCCACTGAGGAGGAGAACCTCGTTCCAAGCCCGGTTGTACTCACCCCTAACAAGTGTGCAGCTCATTCCGATGGAATCAACCAGACACTGAAAAATGTAAAGAGACGAGACGGGTCGGGATATCATTATTTGGAAACGAGATGAATTAAATGAAGACGGTTATAGTGTGCATGAAAACTTGAGAAATGCAAGGAAGGGGCTGAAAATGAATTGTATGTCAAAATAAAGTAAAATGTAAAGGGTTTTTACAGAGAGAACAAAGCTGATGATGCCGTGTGGTTGCTTCAGTGGTACCTTGAAGAGAAGTGCCCTATGGCAGTAGATTCCCCTTCTGATCAAACCAATAGGAACTACATTAGACTGGAGCTGAAACTTGAGCTCGCTGAGGTGCAGCACCCATGGGAATTCGTGCAACTTTTCCATCTCCACTGCTCCACCCATGGCTTCACTCACCAGCCTGGCACACAAATCCAGGCACACAAAACCCATTAGAATTCAGGAACCTTTTAAATGTTGCATCCTTAAGTCTTACAAAGGTAATTTTCTATTGTGTGTTTACTGTGTATCTGTGCTGTTGACCTCTGATCACATGTGATTTTGGAGATTTGAAAACAATGACTGCTAATCATTTAATGAGATGATTTGTGGTGGCATCTCTGCATGTCGGTTACATGCTGACTGCATTAATCCGTCACCTGGCCAAGACAGCATACTGCCCTCGTTCATCACTCAGTGGAAGGATGGATTTTTTGGCCTCTTTAACTAGAAGCTGCAATGAGACGTCATCCATCATCTTCCACGGTTTCTCTGTAGGAGACTCTGGCTGGGTCTCATCTTTCTGTTTGTCATCACCTTTCTTCTTCCTGTACAGAGAGACGGGACATTAAAAAGAAATCTGAGTCAGTGTCTTAAAAATAGGGGAGAATATCAACGGTTTTACAGCACTATACTTAAAATATTACTTTAAGAAGCCTTAATGAAACAACATTTTACCATATAATAAAGTAATAGTAAATATTTGTGTTTAACATTTCTTTGTAAATTACAGACTAAATAAACCTAATAATCCTACATTTTGAAATACCAACCATTGTGTTAGGATGTATAGTACTGGCAAAAATAACCGAGGCTATGTTATATATGATACCTCCCCCACCCAACAAACACACACACAGACACTCTCACCTTGGTGTCCTGCAGTCTCCCTTGCTGGTGTCTGTTTCTGGTGGGTTACTCTGCCTCTCTTCTGGCACATCCACAGCCTCTCTGCCACAGAAGTAAAAGAAAAAGATGGTTTATATAACTAAACATAGAACTGTTACTCTTTTTCTCATAAAGCAAGTTCTGTTGCTGGACTGCAACATACAAGGGTTATTACGACGAGAAGTTCTTCTCTATCTTCTCCATTGTTCTTGTCTCTGAGATGGTTTGCCAGTATCCAAGAAAGGAGTATATACATGCAACACGTGTAGAAAACACACATGAGGATACATACACACTAATAATAAGTAGTAATTATGTATTGTTACTTTTTATTTCTGAACACATTATTATGTAGGTGAGAAAACCTCAATTTGCTGTGGTATCCAAACACTGCAGCATTTTCATTCACTTTAAAAGCAGACATATAGGATCTGAAATTAAGTCTCTTCCTCTGCTATTGTAATATTATGGCCAAAACTATTTGAAATGCACAACTGCAAAACTCCCTGAGCTGCTTTACCGTCACATCTTGCCAGTCTACCACATTATGTTCTTGGGATATTCTGCAGACAAACAGGAGCAAAAGCTGAACCTCCCTGGTTAAAGTAATTCCAGTCTTAGTTTAAAAAAGGCACTGTGGTTCTCAGGAAATGTATTCTAGTAAGAGACATTTTGTTTTATAAAGTTAAAAAGTTACACTTTGCTTCATACTAAGCCATGGATGGATTACATAACAAACTACTTAAGAATGCCTGAGATGTTGTGTGTGTGTATGCATGCTGAAATGGGGACAATGGGGTGGACCTGAGGTACCCTGAGGGGGTACTGCTCTCTTTGGCAAAGTTAATCCATCAAAATGCTGAAAGCTTGTGGGAGCGTTAGTGTGTGTGTGTGTGTGTGTGTGTGCATGTACAGCTTTTAATACATATGGTGCGTTTTTTATTTTGTGTGTCTAAGTCAACACCTACATATATGTTCCATCTTCAGCATGTGCACTTGTTCATGTTTGTGGTTGTGCGTCTAAGTCCATTAGTCTACTCTGAGTGCGTTGCCATCTTTAAAAAATGGGATGGTTTACCCTGTGAGGCCACGCTAACGGGGCACGCTGAAGGCAACGGGGAGACGGGGGAAAAAAGGAGAGAAAGGAAAAGAAGTGGAGCACTGGATTGGAGCAGACAAGGGGAGGGTGATAGTAATCAAACAGCCACAATGAATTGTACCGACAAACTACATGGTGTGGCTGGGAGTGCAGGAAACTTTTCAGCCAACGCTCTACCACTATCTGTGTGGTTGTTCGTGTTACTTTCGCACTCCGCTTGTAATGTAAGAGGCATGGTTAGTTGTGATAGCTTGGGGTAGGGGTAGAGTTTACTGAGCTGGAATATAAAGCATACAAATAATAAACAATGTTTACTTCTAGTTTGTAGGAATTTTCTAAAAACAAGAAAACATACTCTGCTGCTGTGTTGACAACAATAATGGGCTGGTGCTGGTTGACAGGCTGCTTGGACAGTTCCTCTAAAGTCAGAATCTTCTGACCTGGACGAGCCTGAGAATGAGAGAGAGAGAGAGAGAGAGAGAGAGAGAGAGAGAGAGAGAGAGAAAGAGAGAGAAAACAGTTTTATGCAAAAAATCGAAATGTTAAAATATCCTTTGCTACACTATGTTTTCTTCTTCACAAAAGGAAGACGGAAAAGAGAAAAATGTTGTTGTGATCATGTTGGTCAAATCAGTTTAAGAAGTTAAAGTTTAAAAAATGACTAATTATGAGCACGTCTGTAGTTTGACAGCTTTTTTTTTTTTTATTTAGCTTTCTTTCTGTTTCACAAAACTTTCAGTAGCGTACACACATACACACACCTTCCCGGCGTCATAGAAGCCATCGCTAATAATATCACTGGAGGCCAAATGACTTGTCAGACTGTATTTAACAGACAGGTTGGAGTTGAGCAGGCTGATCAAAGCCAACTCGCTGAAACTGCTCCTACGATTTACTGATTGGTTGATTTCCTGAAGCATTTCCAGAGCTCTGAAACACACATACATTCATATATTTAGACTTTGATGATGAACATAGAAATGCACACAATAACCAACAGGTACGTAAATGAACAAATGACCCATACTTTCTTATGTAGCCATACTTAACACTGTCCTATACCGCCATCTACTGGCTATTTAAAAAATTACTCTGAGTTGGCTACCAGCTATACTTTTACTTACATTACAGACATTACTCAACAATGCTTCTCCTGTTCTACATTTCATAATTCATCCTTCATGCCCTGATGTCAGTGTTATCTGTCATTTCAGTGTCTTACCCAAATTTGCACATCTCCACAGCGGTGGGCTCATTACTGGCACAGACACTGATAGCCAAGCATACATTATGCAACACCTCCTTGTGATAGGAGTGCAGCAAATTGACCAGCGGTTGAAGGCCTCCAGCACTTTGTAGCTATGTAGGACAGGTGGTGAAATTTAGGTAGTCAGTGAAAGCATATGAAATATTTTTGGAGAATTTAAAGGAAACTGTTGTCATTGTTAAACATGAGAGCACATACAAACACTAACCTCTGCCCTAGCTTCTGCATCACAGGCCAGCACTGCCAGGCACTGCGTGGTGTTGACCAGGACCTGTGTATTTGTGGACTTCAAGGGCTCCACTAGAGCCTGTACGGCTCCATGTGACAAGATGCTGCAGCGGATAACCTCCTGTCCTGCCATGATGCCAAGTGTGGCAGCAGAATTGGCCACCGTCCTGGGACAGCTTCCATAGAGCTGCTGGACAAGGATCTCATGGCCTCCTGCCTCATACACGGCACTGAAAGATACCACAGAAATGGGTGAGAAATTTACTTTAAACCTACAGAGCTGACTCTTAATGCAATCCAACAATATAGCAAACAACAAAGTATTTCTTTAATGTGTGTGCGACATATGTGATTTGCGCAAATAAGTAGGAAAAACAAAACAAATAACAAAACAGATAAGAACACAAATACTAACAGTAAGAGAAGTAAAGGTTTTTAGATTTAGATTAGATTCAACTTTATTGTCATTGCACAAAGTACAAGTACTAAGACAACAAAGTGCAGTAGACAACGAAATGCAGTGAAGGTGACAGTAATACTGAAATATGATGTCAGATAGTGGGAGATGAGTATAGGGAAGATTTGTCAGGGAAATGAAAAGGCGGGAGATAAAATGGAGAAAGGAAGAGAAGAGAGGTAAAGAGATATTCACTGAGGGAGAACCATGAGAAGACAGATGAAGCATTAAATAATTTGTGAAGTGGAGAGGAAGGCATACTGCTCAACTTTAAAACCACAACCTTATTCTAAGCCTCGATTTTAGACCTTGCAAACTTATCACTGAATGTCATACACATCTGGCAATAAGTTACACAGAGGACATCATTAATATTTTGTGGTATGCACAATCAAAAGACCATGAAATTATAAATTTTCTGGGTCTTTTACTGTACTTACTGTAGGTATGACATTTGTTGTATATACAAAAGATCTAACTTACTCCAAGAATAATAAAACATGAACGTAGGTCAACTATCACTCACAATGTGTTAAGCTGGTTGCTATGTGTGAGGTTAGAGAGAGCCTGGGTTGCTGCTTCTTTCAGCACCAAACTCTCATCATTCAGCAACTGTACAACTGCAGGGATACCACCTGAAACAGACAAAAATACAACTCACTCACATTTAATTGTGGTAAGTGTGTTGACAGTATGGTGCTTGTGTGAATGTGTATGTACCCAGGTCTCTGAAGCTGTCTTTGCTGGCTAGGTGGAAACTCATGGCGTCCACAGCCTGGCAGGTAGCTGTTTTCACGCTGACGTCCGCCACAGACAGAAGCTCTACCAGGACCTTCTCCACGTTCTCCTCATGGAGCAATTTGCGATTCTCAGCTACACACACGGCCATGGCCCCATGCACATACACACATAATGACAAGAAACACACAGAGCTAAAGTAAAACTATAGTTGGAAAGTTAAGAAAATGATTAACTCTTGTGTCCTTCTGTGCTTACAGCTCTGAGCAACCTTGGCAATGCATTTAACAGCGTTGGACTGGATTTCAGACACATTGGGGGTGAGAATAAACTCCATCAGCCTTGTCAGTCCTCCCCCCTTGTGGATCAGCTGGAAACTCTCACTGTCACTCAGACAGTTGGCAACTACCTGTAAGGCCTCAGCATTAAGGTCACTTAAGTCCTGTAAGAAATAAAAACAGAGATAACAGGAGGAAGTAGAGGACACTGACCTTAAATTGGATACAGATTTCAGCATTGGGGGTTGAGAACAAGTACTTATTCAAAAGGAACCATTTCATATAATGGTGCATATATAGGCAGTTATTACCCTCTACAAATTCTTACTTCTCATTTTTATTAACACTAAAGGGCAGGACGAAGATATACATGTTACCACAAAAGCATGTGTTCTCTCTCAGACACCTACCGTATTACTGAGGATATCCATGAGCTTCTCAAATCCTTGCTCATCCCTGAAGGCGATGCGTGTATCTTTATCAGTGGTGACATTCTGCAGCGTCTTCAAAGCCAAATGCTGAATGACAGGAAAGTCTGACTTCAACAGTTCCAGAAGTGGAGGGATCCCGCCCAACTCATGTACTGCAAGACGACTTTGGTAGTCCTTCATATATATAGTAAAACAGAGAATACAAGTGGACAAAAAGAACCATTTGAATTTCACCATTACCAAGACTATATCTTACAAAGCACACAGAGATGTTTTCTGAGGCTTTTGAGATACTGATTAATGTAACTCTAGTTGTCTAAAATGAAATTTGTCATAACTGCATAGCGTTATAACCTTCTCTAGGCTGAGTCACCTGAACTAGGTTGAAGATGATCTCTATGGAGTTCTTCTGGACATCTGGGTCTGGACTGGATAGGAGCTGGATTAGAGGTGGCAGGCCCTTGTTGTCAAAGATCTGGACCTTACAGATGAAATCCACTGACAGGGAGGCCAGGCACAGTGTTGCAAACTCATGGACAACTACATCTTCTGGAATAGGAGAAACAATAAATAGTTGGGGGTTTTTTGCAGCTAATATACAGGAAATGTCTACATCTGAGTCTATTCATCTTGTGATCAAAATGACTCACCTTCAAGTGACAGTTTGTCAATGATTGATGGAATGACATCTAATTTTTTAAGAGCATTCTTTACATCACCTTTTAATAAAAAAAAACATGAGACAAAGTGGTCAGGAGGTTGGTCTTTAAGTTAAAGTCACATCGGTTGCATTGTAAGCCACCAAACCAAATGACTGAGAGGGCAAGTCTGCACTAATGTTTGTATGTTGTCTGACTCACTGTTGGTGGCCATGATGCCCAGGGCCATGACAGCGTTGCGTCTGACCAGCTTATTGTTGTGATTGATGAGGTGACAGAGCGGTGCCAATGCCCCAAGTCCCAGCACAGAAACCTTATTCTCATCTCCTAACAACAGGGGGAGACAGTGAACAGGAAAGTTAAGCATGCCACTGCCAAACAGACCTGAGTGCCTGTCCACATTTATGTATCAGTAATGTAGTTTAGATGCAATGTGACTATAATATAAAAGAAAGAGGCTGAAGTGGGGATTAAAGCTAAAATGGGGTGGTACTCAACACAGTAATATTAATTCACAAAAGAGATTTTGATTCAAAATAACAAAATTTTAAACATTTCAGCTGCTGTATAGTGCTTTATGGGGGGTTGAATGGAAACATAGTAGATGATTTCACAGGAAATGTCAGGAAATGAGACAAGAGTGGTGGACACAATATATTTTGTGCTTTTCTGCTGCAGGGTTGCTCCCCAAAAACACAGAAAGTGTTATGAGTGGGAAGCCAACTGTACCTTTCTCTGCAAATGCGTGGATCGCCTCGCAGGCTTTGACAAGGATGTCCTCCTCTGGGGAGCTCAGCAGGAGCACTACTGTTGCTGGGGTTTTACCTTCCACAGGTAGTGGTTCAAACTGTGAGAGTGTGTGTGTGTGTGTGTGTGTGTGTGAGAGAGAGAGAGAGAGAGAGAGAGAGAGAGAGAGAGAGAGAGAGAGACGCTTTTTAACTGGTCTTACATGTTTTCAGACCAGGAGGATCTATTTCAGTGGACACAAACTATGTAGCGCTTCAAGCTTCATGGGGTAAAAATGAGGTTTTTTTCATGACATGGCTCTCTCACCGTTTCCTTGCACGGAGTTTCACTCTCCTTCTTCACTTTCTTTCCCATTGTGCGAGAGTCCTGGTGAGAAAATGCAATTTAACCAAATGGGTCTAAGCAGCATTTCCTTATCGTTCAATAGCTGCTCAATGTAATCGACTCCATGAAACTGTCATAGCTAGGCTAACGTAGCTAATCCACAAAGCTAACCTGACAGCTTAGCTGGCGACACAGTAGCAGTGTTCCCAGTACGCATTCAAAACAGACAAACCTGAATATCACAGTCTCAAATATTTACTGTGACTTACCTATTTTAGTTTTCCAAACTAAAGGACAAGTTCAAGATGTATAACTAGACAGTCGGCCAGAAGAACCGGACTGTAAGTTTAGTGTTATGGAAAAGGAGGTTGACACCGCGTTGCTAGGCAACGGGTGCCACGTTGGGCTCAACAAGGGTTTGAACATGTTCGCTAGAGCAAGGTTAGTATAGTAGAAGCAAACCAGTATAATGTATATTATAAGCTTTAAATATTATATAATGAGGAAGTTCTGACGTTAACAGTGCTGCGTGTTTATTTGACACACTGACGTAAATGTAGTCAAGGGTTTTTATTAGTCACACACAACCACAGCAGATAAATGGTACACTGACACACACAAAAAAATGCAAAAGACACCAAAATAAAAACTGCAATATAAAGACGGACTGGCGTTAGTTGTTTGTGTATATTGATCTGCTAATAACCATATAGGTTAACTCATGCAGCCTATATGGTTGCATAAACAGGTAGACTATTGCAGACATTGTGTGAGTCAGTGTGGTGTGTGTATGTGCGAGTGTGGTGTGTGTATGTGTGAGTGTGGTGTGTGTATGTGTGAGTGTGGTGTGTGTATGTGTGAGTGGGGGGGTGTATGTCCCTTGCAGGTCATAGAAATAGTATTGAGGTAAATGCGCCGCTGTGAAGAGTGAGTCATAAAACAAATGAGCCCCATACAGCATCAGCACACTGATGCCTCCTGCTCTTACAGAGGCCCTGACACAGCAATGTGCCAGTGGAAACAGCACAGTATGCACCAGAAAACCAAATGACCTCTAAAGACATCACCTCTGGTGGTGTGGGACATTATCGCTCTGCTGCCTGAAATGAGCCTCAGATTAATCAAAACTAAAGCAACCCAAGGATGGGGGATGGCTGGGATCATGTACAGTTTTTTTTTTTTCCTGCTAATGCATTATTATCACACAAGCTGCAAATACGCCCACGCACGCACGCACGCACGCACGCTCACATCCACAGGCCCACCTGAAAATGGCATTAGTCCTCCACTGAATGCTACATTTTCACACTTAAATGTGATTATTTCTATTTTTTTTCCCTATTCATTCATAACGTCCCACATGTCGATACAGAATTGAAATCGAAATGCACATTCAGACCGATATAAAAACGACTCCTGTGCGCTATTAAAAAGCAGAGAAAAGTAGCATAGAGGGGAGGGGGTTGCAGCGAATCAGCGCCGCAGACACTGCAGAGCGCAGGCTGTCACCTCCCCTCCTCCGTCGAGCTGTCACTTGACAGCAAGCACACATGAACCTCAATGCTGCGGACGGAGCTGACCACCCGTTTTCATTCACGTCTAGATAACGGCTCCTCGGCGTTTTAATTCATACGGGGCCTAAGGAAGTGACATGACACCCCCTGTCATCTCTGCGGACTGACCACAAACGCGTAGGAGGGCTGAGCCGCTCGCTGGTTCAGAGCTAATGCTAATAGTTAGCTTGCAGGCTAGTGGTAGCTCCCGGTGTAGCTCCGTGCCGTCGGTTGGTTGACGTTACACAGCGGGGTCGCTCAGGGGGCGTTTGGATTGCCGTTCACCACCATTGATGTGTCATTTTAATAATGTGTTTTGAGGCTGCATGATAGTCTGCTTCTAAGTTGTCACGGGGCCTCGCGTTGTTCCTGTTTTATGACTTTTTTTAAAAAAATAATAATAATTTTACGGAATTTATCGTTGGTGTTTGCTAGCTAGCGAGCGAGCTAATCGGCTATGCTAACGCCAGCTCAGTGAGAGCTCACATCGCAGGGGTGCTGAGAGCTCCGGACTAGTCGAGGAAGGAAGGAAGAGAAGTGACTTATGATGTGGGCTGAGGGAAGCGGCGGACTGTTAGGCGAAGGAGAGCAGCAGTATTAGCTTTTTTTTTTTTTTTAACACATCGCATTTTCTCACATTAGTCCTGGTCGAGGTGGGGCCACAGCGTCAGCCAAGCAGTGTGGGACATTGGATGAAGAATAGAATTGGGGCACTTTGATTTGCGAGCTGGGTAAATGAGTAGTATCGGTATTACTGAGTCGTGAGCTGGTGGCCGCTGTGCCAGCTTCAAGGAAAGACACTCTGTCAAAATTATCGCACAGACTGCAATAACCAGCCAGGTTACTTAAAGATGGCTTCGGCGAGCAGCATTGCCGCATCTATTGCGAGCAAAACGAAGACCAAGAAAAAACACTTCGTTGCTCAGAAAGTGAAGCTCTTCCGTGCCAGCGACCCTCTGCTCAGCGTGGTTATGTGGGGAGTCAACCATTCGGTGAGTCAGACCAACTACTGTCTATATGATCATCCACAGTTATGTCTCCCTCGACCCTTTGATGTGCCACGTTAAGCCTTATTTGCTGTCAGCTATCATCCTTTGTATTTCCGCAGCTGATTGACAAACACGAGATGACAGCTGTCCAGCGGTTGGCTGTAGTGCTGTCAATGTAAATGTGTGACTGGCTGCAAGTGCGCTCAACTCATTCAGCACATTATTACCTATGTTTGCCTTAGTAAGCTGTGTACAGTTACATTTCACATGATGTATGCACGGTTTCTATGTAAGCACTAAAGTGTGTGTGTGTGTGTGTGTGTGTGTGTTTGAGCACTGAACTCTTCTTTGGCTTCCTGTTGTGCACATGTAGGATAAGCTCCTAGGGCCTGTGTCATGAGAGATCTTCCCATGCAAGACAGCTTATCTCTGCTCTCTTTCTCTTCCTTTGCTGAATATTTGCACTGGGCCAACACTCATATGTCTGTGGGAGAGCAAACTTGACTAGCAGAGCACATACAGATATTTCTGTCACCAAATCCCAATATTAAACATTTTACCAATGTTTTACACACATCATTTTAACACACAAAAAGATTCACTCTTGCTGTCTTATTATAATACCGACTTTCCTCGTCCTTTACTCAGCTTGCTTCTATTAACCATAACATGGTCAGTACAGTAAAGGCAGCCTTTTTACTGAAGGTTTTATCTGCTGTTTTAGAATGAGGATAACTGTTTTCCAAAGTGTAAACAAAAGAGCTGAGCAGTAAGTGAGCAGCAGCACTCATTTATTCCTTCAGTACGTAAATGTCTGTTTATGTTAGTATGTAATTGTTCCCATGGAGTAGCTAATTATGTAAAAGATGACAATAGTATAGTTTATGAAATAGAAAAGACTAGTGGTCCTTTGATGCAGAGTACTGCTCTGCTTTCTTGCTCTTTAGTTATGTCTGCCCATGGTTGTCCCGCATGTGGGTGTGTGGCAGTGGTTAGCAGACAGTATGAAACACTAGAGCCAGCAGTGTTAAGCAAATTTAGCAAATTAATTGATCATTTGATGCTTTAAGACTAGTTCGATAACACATGTCATTTGCAAATCAATGTTGATTTGGTTTTAAGTTAATGGGTCAGAGAAATGCTTGTACAAAATAGCCTAATTACAAGTAAATACACGGGCTTGACATTGGATAAACATTTTGTGAAACTTTCTAACTAAATGGCCTCTGTAACTACAAAAGTGGGTTATGTCAAGGTTGTAAGCCAATTTCTCCTACTCAACTTACTATATACTGTATACTATGTCTGACATAATCTTTTTGGTATTTGCAACTACAGTTTCTTATTGTTGAAGCAGTTTGGCATGTCTTCTCATGACGTTAGAGACTGTTCCCTTTGACATATTTAATAATATTGCAATTTTTGACTAATGTACCAGCTATTTGTGCACAGAATAATTTGGCCTCTTTTGATCTACTTGTTGTTTCATGTTGCATTGAAAACTCATGCATTAGTCTGTTTTGTCTAACTCCATGTCTCTGTATTGGATTGAGGAATCCTGGGGCGTTTGGGGGTCGTTACCTACCAGCTTTGTCAATTTAGACAGTAGCATTTGATTTTTGGCCTAGTGTTAAGGGTTGCAGTTTAGTGTGGATTATGCAGCCTCTAGATAGCCCTATGTATGTGGGGCCAAGACAGCTAAAGACCCAAAGCGGTTATTCTGTATCTAAGCTGTAGTCTGTCGATAGATTACAGTCACCTGGCTTTGGTGTTAAGTCTGAGGGGGCAATCTAAGGTTGGTACACAAGAGGTTTACCTTCATGCAGTACTGATTGACCGTTCACTTTTTTTAATGTCACTTGACATTCCTGTGAAAGATGAACTTTGATACATTACCCAGTCTCTTTAGTTGACATGGAATATGCATGACATGCATTTCATCAGATATGTGTCAGCTAGACTGTCATCCTACAAAGCACACAAAATACTTCCCTTTAATGGTATAGTTATGTTCTACAGTTACCTATACAAGTTTGGAGAATCTACATGTTCAAACTGTTCTCTTGGATTGCGTAACACAGGGCTGCCGCCAGCACATTTCCTTCTTATGCCTTAGGCTATGTCCCTTGCTTTTTTTCCCATTACTTGATAAGGTACTCTGTTTTTCATACCATTGGCAACATAAAAATGACATTCACTACCAGGTCACCAGGTTGAGACGCCAGGTTGCAGTTTGAAAGTGTTAATGTAAGGTTACTTACTTACTTTGACACTGCAAAGGAGTCAATAAAGGGAGAGGCCTGAGAATGCAACCAGAATGCAACCAGACTGCAACATGCAAACACATGCACATGTTCTGCAAAATGTAACCCCCACCCCCCATAGCTTGTCAGTCAAAAGCATCCACTTTGGCTCCTCCTGAAAACCAGACTTATTACTGTGTTATTGCTCCAGGAGGACAATGGCAAAAACTGAACCTACGAGGAAGGCCACTTAGTTACTCTACAGAAGAGTCAAAGATACTACCTCTCTATTGGTCTAATGAAGCAAATATGTTATGTAAAAGGATTTAAATGCAGTGCCAAGATGCATAGAAATGAATGAGACGTTTATATGGCTCAGGACATTCGGTGTACGTCATCAGAATCATTGTTGTGTTATGGCTGAGAAAAGCCAGCGATATGCGTTTTGAAGTGTCTGTGTGGCAGCTTTCTGAAAATAACCTTCGTTGACAGGTAGCCCATTTTTACATTAATCCTAATACTTTGAAATTCTACTTGCATCCCTTCGAGCCTGAATAGGTTACATAGCTCATGGTTTTACAGAAATGGATTGAGGCCAAAGCTAAAGGTTTTTT